ATACCACAAGATGCAGCATGAAAAGCTCTACAATTTACATAGTAAAAATTATTGTAATTGTTTTCAAAATGAACAAAATTTTGAGCGACCATATTTCGATCGTACGAAAATTGATCATACAGAATTTTGCTTTTTTTTTGAAAACAATTACAATAAGTTTTACTATGTAAATTATAGAGCTTTTCATACTGCATCTTGTAGTATGTTTTGTTTTTTCAATACAACATGTTTAGAGTCTCAAAAGTTCGATCATCAAATATTTTTGAGGGTAAATTATCGTATATTTCTAATGCCTACAATAAATACTGTCATAATTCAAATTATGTAAATTGCAACAATTTTTTTCTTCGTAAATATGATTGCTGAGTGTAGCAAAAGTTTTGTGACATTTTTTTGTTTTGTATATATCTTGGTTCAAGAACATGGTAGAAGACATCTGTGTGTTTCAAAAGATATGTCATATAATTATTCTATCAGAATTGTAAAATCAAATGTCTGTAGTTGTTTTTGAAATTTCAATAAATCACTAGAAGTAAACATGTCTTATTTCTATGTTACTTTCCATGATAAGAAATTTGAGTCAATTTCGATCTTTTTAAATAGAGCAGTGTATTCATTCTTGAGTGCAACATTTGAAAATATCACTAGTATAATGAGTCTTCTAAAATCGCAAGGTTTTCATGTATTCGAAGTTTAACTGGAAGACATTTGTCATATTTGTATGTATCTATCATGATGCTACGTGCAAAGGAAGAGACTTTCTGGTAATGCAAATTGAAAAATAAATAGCAAAAAACTAGTAGTCTTATTGCCCAAATAGCTAGAACATATAGTTCAAGCATGTACTTAGATTGAAGGTGCAAAAAAAACAAGATATGAACTAAAATAAATGTTGAATATATGTAAATAATTAGTGCGCAGCAATATTTTAACCTTCGTTGAAATGAACTTTTTAATATTATTTTGACGTATGAGAATAGAATGCAACACATACACATATATATATATAGGGAAGTTCGAGACATTTATGCAGCACATAGTGGTTTTCTGGCTGTTTACTTCTTCTTTGAGAAAAGAGAAAATATGTGAATACATCCATTTTTGGATGACTTATTGAAAGATGAGATGGATCATATGAAATGAGACCGAAATTTCACCCTTACTATCCTTGATATCGCTCGTTGACGGAGCATAGCCGAAATTCTTCCCTCTGAATGGTTAAAAAGTTATAAATTCGAACCCACTTCACACGATTCATCTCATTTCCCACAATAAGTCATCCAAAAATTGATGTATTCACATATTTTTTCTTTTCTCAAAGAAGAAGCAAACAGTCAGAAAACCACTATGTGCTGTGTAAAAATATCTCGAACTTCTCTGTATATATATATATGTATTGCATTCTATTCTCATACGTCAAAATAATATAAAAAATTCATTTCAATGCTGGCGAAACTATTGTCGCGCACTAAATACTCTCGAAAACTGTTGACTAGAGGTCAATCTTGTCAATACTTACGAGAAAAGGTCTCCAAGTGTAAATCATCCTTTCGAAATTACATGTTGTACTCACTGAGATCTACAAAATAGCAAATACCAAATTCAAAACGGTGATTCACACTTGGGTACCTTCCCTCGTTAGTCTATACTCGATCTAATAATTGTACGCAATTGGTGAAGCACGAGGAGGATCTTGTGTGGGAATATTCCGACATAGAAAAATAAGAAATTTCCTGTCCATACATTGATATCCATTGATATACAAAACTGTTGAATGATGATGAATGCCATTATTATAGCTTGTACTGTCATTCTCCGAAGAAACGCAAATAATTTCTCATGCAAGTTAGGCTAAGTCATTTTGTTCTTTCCTTTTGATAACATCATGTCGGAAGTTGGAAAAAACCCTTCTGATATATTCTGTATCTTTCTTTTGCGTATAAAATATTCTTGTTACGAAACATTGCATGTATAAATATCCAAGAAGACTCCAGTAGCCTCATACGTTGATTCAATATCATTATTGACAACTTCAAGCAAACGATTTTAGATAGGATTGTAGTAATGATGTTATATCATTGGTATAGTCTATTTTGATAGTTTTCATTTAACAAAAAACGAAGCATACATCAAATCCCACGTGACTTCATAAAAATCAGGTAAAGACGATTTTGATTCGTTTATTCTTCACTAGTCAATATCAAAACTATGTTTTGACGCAGTATCATCATGAAACAAAAGTTTTTTGGCACACTTTTATCATAAAAAAACGTAGAGCTTGAACGAAAAATTGACATGTTAGTCGAATCAGTCATGTCGATTGAGCGATACTTTCCTATAATCGATTAGCTTTTACATATAAAAGCTCGTAGTCAGTAGAAAATAACTGAATTTACAACATCTAGTTTGGTTTTCAATGACTTTAACTAGAAATATAGTTATCGAACCAGTAGTGCTATTTTTACTGCGAAGAAATTTAAAAAAAAATTGAAACTTCTGAAAAGTCTTTGATTTATTGATATTATTTTCTTTATATCTCATGTTTTCATTGTGATCAAGATCTTAGCGAAACCTTTATTGTTTAGAACCCTACAAACAAAAAGTTTTCATCAATGGAATGAGCTCAAAATAATGTTAAGATCGTCTAGACATCCAAAACAAGACAACTTGATAGATTTCTTTTATGTAAAACTTTGTTTGAAAATGGCCGTATCTGGATCTAATATGGAGCATCAAGTTCATATTGATTTAAGTTTATAGAGAAATGTCTAGCGCCTATCGAGCGACATAAAAATAGAAAATGGGTGTAAAATAGTTTCAGACAATGTTTTTATACATATTTCTGCATAATTTCCCATAGTTTACTTGAACATGTCATTTTATGCAATATATAGACGTTGATATGTCAAATCTTCGACTTAATTCGATTTCTTCCATGAACCATTGACAAGAAAAAGTAAAGTAGGGCTTGATGGCTCAAGAGTTAAGCAGATATTCGCTAGTATTTTAAAAATGTTTTGTATTTCTCAGCTAATCGAAAAGAATGTCGAAGAAACAAATATTCCTTTTCTTGTCCATTTGAACAATGATTCCTGAACACAGTGTGAATGTGAATAAAGACAAGGCCTATACCCATCCATCATCGCGCTCTACGAGATTCTCTCGACTCAACGATGGATGAATTGTGGCAAATAAGATAGCAATGTAATGCTAGTTTGTGATTAGTCAGTGACCTATCTGAAGGAAGGACAATGTGTAGAAACATATAAAGACACAGTATAATCCTTATTCTAGTATTATAACAGCGATGTAGTTTTCGAAAAAAACGTATGAAGGATGTTTTAGGTGAATTGACATATATAAATAGGTACATTTCAGTAAGAATATTATTAAAAATCCATCAGAATCATCTATCATATGTAGATTTGAAAATGAGATGCGCATGTTTGACTTTTGTTCCATCAATATGTCTGACATGTTGTTATCGAGTACATTGAAAGTTGGGTCTTGAAGGTTATTTGGTGCATTTATAAAGAAGAGAAAAATCATTGGGCACATTGTCCAGAGTAGAAACAATGTTGGATTGTATTTGAGTGTAAAACAAACTGAGTATGGGTGAAAATCGTTTATTTTAACAATTTTTTCATCGAAAATTGGCTATATCTTTACGAAATTTTGGCTAATAAACGATGAAAAATTTAGGAAATGCTCGTGATGTGTTTAGTTTTCGATCATTGATGGTTTTTGTTTCAATACTGTGTGGGTGTGGGTGTGACTGTGGCTATGGGGTGTGGGGTGTAGGTGTGGTTGTGGTTGTTGGTCTTCTTGTCACTCACACCCACACTCACACCCTTCATATTTCCCTGTTATGGGACCTAAATAGCTGATATTTTAAAAATCGTCTTATAAAAATCTCAAATGACTATGAAACAGAAAATAAACGTCGCCAGTCGACTTAGAATAACGAATTACTCCCTCCAGAGATATATTTCAGTGATCAGAGGTCAATTCACCAAAATCCGAGATCTCTGGAAAACCGCCTGCAAGTAGGTCAGGAAGCAAAAATATGTTTGTATTTCAATCTGAAGTTGTAGAGAACCCTCGGTACTATCTATCTATGAGAAAAAGCGATAGGTTTCTATCCGAAACTTTTTAGCAAAGTCCTAGTTTCTCAGAAAACGCTCCAAAAACCTGGTATCTGAAAGTTTGTAGAAATTAAGTTTGCTAGTAAAAATGTAGTCTAGGGTCTCCTCTTTCCATCGTTGAAAACCGCAGGTCGATATCTTTTGCCGTTTTCGAGTTATTCAAAAGATAACCACCTGCCTTATACTTTGGCTCCGATATTAGTATAGATGACGGTTATACATCCATTGAGTTTTAAGTAAACATTTAATTATTTAGTCAAACTGTTTTAGAGCTCTCATTTGACTACTATAGAATATATTTAGAGGAAAACGAATTCAATTTGGGTGTGGGTGTGGATGTGGGTGTTGGTGTGGGCGTTGTTAAAGGAATGATCATATCCACAGCCACCCACACACTCACACCCACACCCTGCGTATTGGCGTCAGCATTATTGTCAATTAATATACATACACTAAAGAAGACTAGTGAACAAAGAATTCACAAACATGTAACAACAGCTGTTTTCATTTTCGAACTAAAATTGCAACAGATAATCATGCATGATAAGGTATGGGGGTGGATGTTTTAAAAGAATACCTACACCTACACTCATCTGACGTCACCGTATGAAATAAATTGCTCTTAGTCTTGAGCATTCTCTATCAAAAGTGAAGGTAACCAGAAAGGGCACACAAAAAGTTGCAGTCGACAGTGACAAAAAATATTCTTCCAAGCATCCAAGGTAAGATTGCTTGCACACATTATCTTATATGTGCCGAAGTTGACTCATGCCATATTTATGAATGACAAGACACTTTCTTATCTCTTTAAAAAAATGGTAGCTAAACATAGCATAACAACAGCAAGAGTATGATTTAGAATTTGAATAGAATTACATTAATTATTATTATCGACAATTATCCTATTGCAACACAAGGAAAGTTCAAGTAATAAATTTTGTATCATCATTTCCATTTCAATACTCAGATCTACATACATGATTTTACGGAATAAGATGATTAAATAGGATATTGAGGTGAATACATGAAATCACCTCATTTCGTCTCGATTCCAGGGGATGTCGTAAAGTGTATTGGTATTGTGCTTGTCATACTTACCCTCCAAATATTAGGACGAATATTGCTCATGTCACATTCACGATTTAGATTTCAAACAAAAACATAGAGAGATCTCTTCTTATCACTATCTATATAAATAGCACTGTTATCTTGTATGTTGGTTAGAGTAGTTGGTGAAGATGCATGTTTTAGTGTTACTTCTTCTTATAGTTGAATGTTGGAGTTGGGGTAATATAAATGTAGTAATTGATGACAAAGGAGGATACAATATTACTATTGGTCGTCGAGTTTGGCTTCGTTCATCTCGTACAGCTATATACGTCGATAACAAATGGTATTCATCCGATGACAATACACTACCATTAACTGACATCAGTTATACAAGTGGTTTTGATCCAAATCTCGGTGATTATCGAGATTTTCAATTAAACTATGATCTTGTTCGCGATGGAATACATACGAAAATCGTTGGTCACATACGCGATTGGTATCGTGCTTTCGGAATTTCGTTTCATTTAGATACTGGCGATCGACCTTTGACGAATACCGTCCCTCTTGACATGGACCATGTTTGCACAGTTTTTCCATCGTTTCATATTGAACAAATCGATCAAAATGATCAACGAGGTTATTTTACATTCGAAGGTAAGATTGATTTTAGAAATGCTTTTAACTCTCTCTCTCTCTCTCTCTTTCACTTTTCTTCAGGAGGAATGTCCGGTAATGATGGTAAACATGCAGGTTGGTGGAATTCATCCAGTAAAGTCATTCAATCAGGAATGCAAAGTGGTCCTGTTGTTCTTTTTAATCTGACTGAACAAGGAGAAGGTGATATGTTAGTTCTTTCAACATTTTCTCAATTTATGGCCACTTCATTAAGTCAAACGAAGAGCAACATATTAGAATTTGGTGTGATGGGTTCAATGTTATCAATACCAGCTAATTATACTCATTCCATGGTGGTTTTTTATGCATTAAATGGTATCAATGAAGGAATAAGAGAATGGGGTCAAATCATGCAAAGCGAATATACTCGAACGAATCAACATCGTCTATCTGATGTTACGATCAATTATCTTGGATACTATACCGATAATGGTGGTTATTATTATTATAATACAGAAAAAGAAATAAATTACGAAGAAACTATGGTTAATGTTCGTCATCAAATTTCACTTCCATTCCGTTATATGCAATTTGATTCGTGGTGGTATTATAAAGGTATGGGCAATGGTGTTTCTCAGTGGACAGCTCGTCCAGATATTTTTCCTGATGGTCTTCAAACTGTACATCGTCGATTAGAAAATATTTCGCTCGCAGCACATAATCGCTATTGGGCATATGATACTGTTTATAAACAAAATTATTCTTTTGTTCTTGATGAAAGTAATAAGAAAGCATTACCAATCGGAAATGATTCATTTTGGATTGATTTATTTACTCAAGCACATGATTGGGGTCTTATTCTTTATGAACAAGATTGGCTTGATCGTCAAACAATTGATTTTTTACCAACACGGACTGATATTAATCTCGGACATCAATGGCTAATGTCAATGGGTTCAGCAGCAGACAAAATCGGACTAAATATACAGTATTGTATGAGTTTACCACGTCATATTCTCAGTGCATTACAAATTCCACGTGTAACTCAAGCACGAGCATCAACTGATTATGCTTTACATCTTGATGGTAAAGCACAACAATGGACTATAGGAATATCGAGCATGTTTGTTGATGCTATTGGTTTGGCACCATTCAAAGATGTGTTCTGGTCCACCTCATTACAACCTGGATCTCCTTATAAACCAAATGCTAAAGAAGTACTTCCAGAACGAGAAATACTTATTGCGACTTTATCCACAGGACCTGTCAGTCCTGGAGATGGTATTAATTATACCAATACACAACATATCATGAAATGTTGTCGTGGAGATGGTTTGATTTTGAAGCCAGATCAACCATTGACTATGATTAATAGATTAGTATCGGACTGGGCTTTTTATGATGGTGTCTCACAAGGTGAACTTTATTCAACAAGAACAAATATGTAAGTGTTTCTCTTTCTAATCTTCTAAATAATTTAAATATATTTAGACATGGTCAAATATTCTATACCATCTTTGCATCCGCGATGAAACAAGATTATTTAGTTTATCCTTCTATGATTGGGGCTCAACCAGGAGTGATCTGGTCATATGATAATCCAACAGCAGTATCAACTTTCGATGATGATCATCCTCTAAATGTTTCAACTGCTAAATGTCATGATTTATCAATATGTCTTTGGTATGTATCGCCTCTGATCATATTCAGCAGTTCAACGAAATATGCTCTGCTTGGTGAATGGAACAAATGGACAGCTATAAGCTCTCAACGGATTATAGGCATAGACAATTTTATCGGAAGCAATTTTGCACTGATAACTGTCTATGGTTTAGTTAGTGAAGTCGTGCCAATCCTGGTTTTTCATTCTAACTTATCAATCGTCAATGTAACTTGTCGAATGCACCCTGATGAGGGCGAAGCTCAACTTGTTATTGATGATCATAGGGCTGGTTGCTATTAAATCAAATGAATAAACTTATGCTTTTTAAATAACAGGGTGAGTGTGGATGTGTGGGAGTGGGTGTGGGAGTGTGCTCCAAATTATGCGCACACCCACACCCTAAAATCAAAGTAAATTCAAAATTTTTCTATACTAAAATTATAAATTTGGGGTTTGTGTGTGGATATGATGTTTCTTCTTTTCTACACCCATACTCGCATTATTTGGCTGCTTAACCTCCTATTGAGAATTTTCTTTCTAAAGTTCCGAATTTTCGTTGGATACTGGGGTCTTCTGAAAGAATGAGAATACTACAGTATACTTATAAGCTCATTTATTTACACTTTTTGCTGAACATGATCACGCTTTTTGTTTATGATTGACAATATGTTTTAATAATTTGCCAATAGTTTAGAAAAACAAATGGCAAATACTTCAATTCCATTCCGGCTTTCACCATGGATCGATTAGGGTATTGTGGTGAAAATTTAGGTCCAACAGAGCCGCTGAACTATCAGGCCGATACATTCTTTGATGAGGGTGTGGGGTGAGTGTGAGTCTTGTCTTCAATGACACCCACACTCACATCCTCGAGGATCTTTTGGTGCAAAAATCATAAAATCTTTTAAATGTCTTAATTCAGGACGATCAACTGCATCAAATGTTCATAAATCACCTGAATGATGACATGAATTTTTTGTAATAATAACTTCACTTGTTAAAATTTAACATTGATTAACATTAGATTTTCTTAAATTATCTTCTACTTCAGAAACGTATAATTTATAATCATCCAATACTGTATATTAAATAAAAACGTGACCATATTCTAATACACCATATGCATCGATAATACCAAACATTCCTAGCTTTTTTTATCTCACATACATAATTCTGTTTAATCAATTAATTCATGCATAATATTAAATACATATGTTGTACTTAATTTTATAAAAAAATTGTTCTTTAATAATATTTATATATTATGTTATTTGACGTAATTGAAACCATAGGTAAGGCTTTTTCTTGTAATAGTTTATAGGCTATAAATAGTATTAATAGACAACAAATAATCCATAAATGATATTCGTTTTGTAAACAAAGAAATGTTGTATGAAGTATATCACGACTTTCAAGTGAAACAATATCTTGTCGATTGAGATAAAGAGAACCTGAATATTTATGTTAAATGTCAAGCGAAATATTTCATAGATAAAATTTGATTTGAACTAATTTTTTTTTTATCGATCATGAATAGCAAACTTTGCATCACTCATTTTGATGAGTTGAGTCGGATCTATGTACCTTAATGTGGACACAAATGAGTTTTGAATACTTCAAAAAGTGTTCAAATGCTTAGTTTATGCTTGCAGGAATACTGCAAATTAGTAGAAGTTTTTCAATGAATTTCGTGGTTTCTCTGATGAATACTAAGAGAATTTATTTTCAAATTTCGATTTGAAACCTTGTACAGAGATAGAATTTAATAAGAATGGATTATTATAAAAACTTGAGATCTTTTGATTTATTTTCATTTTGAATCTGCCTTTATGTTTGAGTGATGTTAACAGTAAGTTATTGTATCTCTGAAAGAAATAAGAGATCGAGTCGAATTATATTTTCGTCTGCTAGAGATTGGTTTAGTTCAGAAAAAAAACAGAGAATTGCTTCGTTTCAATGATCCTTCTCGACTACGGACCTCAAAGTTCTTTTTCTTGTTTATTTTGACTCGTTGAAATTGATGATAAAATATATTTTTGAGTTCACTTCTCGTTAACTCAATGTATCACAAAATGATTAAGTTTACCGCCTACTCTATATCATTTATTTTCGAATACATTTCTATTCAAATAAATTAAATTCTAGAAGAATTTCTTATCTTTTCAATGGAAATACTTACGTGGTACTGATCAATTTACATAATTCAAGTGTATCATGATCAGTAGTAAATTTATTGATTGAATCTCAAATTTTTGAGGGTGTGGGTGTGGGTGTCCTCGTAAGTTAACAGAAAAAGACATCCACACCCCACACCCCACACCCACACCCACACCCTTCTTTTATTAATAGAGACGTCTCGTTTGACTATAACAACTGATTCATTGAATATATAAACCTTGCTATTATGCTGTATCTTAATGCGTACAATTTGGAACATTTTCATTAAGAATACTTGAAATACGGACATGTCTATAACTATTATTTCTAAAACATAGACAACAATCGATCAATGATGTGTATTCACAGATATAGTGATGAATATCAAACTCCCTAAATCATTTTGAATGTCAATAACGTTATTCAATGATAGATTTAATCATTTCGTGATAAGAAAAAGCTCATGTAATGCTTCAACAGTCCCGAATTCATCTCAAAATAATCTTCTTATGATAGAATATATCATATTACTAGTCTTTAAATTTTCGAGATTTATCCATGAAAAGAAAATCTGTCGTTATAAATATTTTGAACAGACCATTGTGATGTAAAGAGCAATACTATGTCTAGATGATTATACTAAACTACATATTAGATAAAGTATTAGTACTTTGAGACAGTTCCGTTTAGATTTAATAAGTACTATCGCCTTTACAGTTTTTGCTTTCTTTTGAACTTAATCTAATGTAATATGTAAAAACGAGAGAGATGCCGTGCCCATAGTTTCTTTGCACTTGAACAGTGTATGATTTACTACAAGAATTATGTGAACAATGACTCACGTCTCATTGTTTTCATTATTTGTTTGCATTAATTGAATGATGAAAAGAAAAGAATTGTTTTGCTTGTTGGAAAACCTTAGATATAGATCTTATTGATCTGTTTGTAGTTACCGAAAAAATCACTGTCTATGAAGTAATGTCATATCATTAGAATGAAATGAGGTATTCTCTGAGCTTTTATAAATATGAAACTGAGAGACAATAAAAAGTAAACTTGTCAATCCAAAATTTCATTATACTAGTAGATGATCTAATGAATTTATTCATGGATATCTCATTATTTTCCTCTCTAATAGAAATTATTCGACAGTTAACAGAACTTTGTTTTGTTTTGTTTTCATAGTATTTAAATTTCATAAAAATTCTATGGTTTTTTTATTCAAATCTGTCGTCAAACTGTTGTTAGTATGTTCTATATTTCGATTGCATGTCGATATTCTCACTATATTCGTTTTCTATGGATCAGTGATATATTTATCGAGTATTTGTCAGATATAGACAAGTAAATAATAGGAGAGAAAATATAAAAGTAAGACATTTCATTTGAAGTGAGTTTGTTTAAATGTATAATTGAACTAAACAAATAAATATTATTTCAATTACTTTGTTTCTGTTGATAATAATTACAAAAAATTGTGTTATTCTTGCAGTACGTTAATCTCTTTCATTGCAGTAGCGGATTTAGGGCGAGGGGGTTGCAATGGGGCGATTGCACCCTGTTCGAGAAAATTTTTTCGATTTTTTCCAGAAAAAACAAACAAAAAACGTTCATGTCCTTTCGAGTGCATCTCACAATATTGTTTTTAAACCTACGATCGCACTCCCTTACGAAATCCTACATCTGGCACTGCTTCATTGAAAAGTATCTCCACCTTTTTATAAATCAAATTATATATAGATCAAGTATTTGATGTTGTAAAAGTAATCAGCCATATATTTCTTTTCTCCTTAGACATATATATGTATGTTATCACAACGAGAATTTTTATTACGAAAACAATTTACTTTTAAAATAATATAATTTATACATATTATAATATCTTCCAAATGAGATTCTTCCCATAATGTTATCTCACATAAGATAGTTTGACATTTTCAACGAAAACATTTTGATCACGATGTGTCAAAATTCTGTGTGTGAAAGAATTTTCGTTAATAAAAAGGCTTTTGATAAACGATTGATTGATATACTTATATTCAATATATATCTGATAGAATTCAAGTGAATATTGCTGCATAAAGAATAGTTGTGTAAAGTTTTTTGTTGAAAGTACTACATAACTTGTTCCGATCGTTACACATTAAATAACCAGTGTTTTGGTAAGATTCATAAATAGTTTTCTTTGTCTTCTAATATTTATTCAAATCTAATTTATGTTTCTTTTTTCTCGAATTCCGCTCAATTCAAGACAAATAGTTATCAGTTCAGAAATCTTACTCATATGAACTGCTATTCGTAAGATTTCCATGAAGTAAAACAAACCAGGTATCATATTTCATATCGTGATAGACAAATTCTTTGTCAATATTTCAATGTAAAGAAATCTTATTTTATTTTTTCATATTAATCTCTTGTATATCTTGTTTGAGTCCGACATTCCACTGTTTTCTTTCAATGTTGGTATAGAAAGTTGACTAGTAACAAACATAAAAGAAGATTACGACAGATATTTTATTCATTTGATCAAATTAGTAAATTGAATAAACGTATTTGTATCATGAAATTATAATGTTTGTTGGCATAAACCATTGTTGCGATCAATTTGAATGAAAAATTCTGATTGCTATGCCTTTTATTTTTGAAATAAGAACATTGTTTGAGTTTTTTTTACCGTTATGAAAAATAATTGAGAAAGTTCGTTTGCAGGAAAAAATATATTTCGATCAGAGATTTCTCTTTAAATTCTTTAAATTTGTAGTTTCTGAAAGGATTTTTCCAATAAATCCGAAATTTTCTATCATTATGACTTGATAAGTACCTTTGAAAAGATATGCACGTAGATATTAGTTGAAAGTGAATCGAATGAATCGTTTATTACTTTTGGTCGAAAGCAATCTTTTTACTTTTCTTCTTTATCTATCTTTTGTTTTAATATTTAATTCAACAATTGAGGATGTGACTATAGAGAATATTTATATCCATACCCAACACTTCATGGTACTCAAACCGGACATATCCAGAATTCTTACCATCCAGGAATTTATCATAGCTTCTAATGCGAATGAAGATGTAAAAAGTCAAACAGAGATGAGAACTTTTACTTAAATAGTCTTCGTTCTTGAAAGATAGGATGTGACATGAGACAATGTGTGTATGTTTATCATTTTGAGTCACTCAAAAAAAAGCTTCACTATTTCAATGCTTTTCGAGCCTTTGATGAAATCATGTAGTTGAGGAAAATGTTGATTCTTAAATGTTTTTCTTAAGTGTTTTAGAGTGCGATTAAAAGTGCTCTGACTCTTGTATGTGAACTTTTAATGCATTCAGAGTAGTTCCTTTTTCTTAGTATTATTCAGAAGCATTTTGATCGTTCTATCACATAGCATGGTTTGTTCGAAGATGTCTTACTTACCGTTCCTTAAGTTAGAATATAAAAGCAGTAATTTATATAAAAGTAGTAGTCAATATTTCCACTCTATGTAGTGCGACATATTTCATTAACTGGAAAAAAAAAGACTTAGATGGAAAAGTCTATGTATATTTTTCTTTTTACTTTCTGTCGTAAAAATTAGATTTCAGATAGTTTCTTC